TTTTTATATGAACAAAAAAGCTTTTGATGTAACAAAGATGAAATTACATTTTCAATAAAAAAGTTCTTTATTTTATTTTAAAATAATCGAATGGTTGTTAACAAAAGTCATTATTTATTTATATTTTTATTTAACATTTTAACATCCATATCAAATTTATTAATAGATATATTTGTTTTTAAATTCTTTAAAAATAAAATAAATATAAAATATTGTACATGTATAAAATGTCAGGAATATATTTTATTGTTTTAAGAACAGTTAACTGACTTTTGGGAATATGTAAGTGTACATATTCCCAAAAGTCTGTTAACTGTTCTTATTAAGTTCTTATTAAGTTTAATTTAAAACTTTATATTTTAATTTTTAAGTGTACATAAAAATTAAAATATAAAGTTTTAAATATTTCAATTATGAGCCAACAACCAAGACAAAGAAGAAGATGAACAAGAGAAGGTAAGGAAAAGTGGATAAAGAAAGATGCAGAACAAAGAACTGAGATAGAAGCAGAAAATTAGGAGATGAAGCAATTGATGAAGGCAGCAACAAACCTTCATGGCTCATGAATGCTAAATGATGACAATGACGATCTAATAAATTCAGTATACAATAGACATCATGATATACAATTAGTTTATTACTGATAAGTCCTTTTGGATATTTCTTATAAAAATGTCATATGTTTAAAAAACAAACTAAATTTGAATTACTTATTCTGACTAACTTAGCAAATAAACTCAAACTTTCCTCTCACTAATTTTAAATTATATAAATTACGTAAATTTTGATATTTTACTGAAAGATTTGACGAAAGCAAATTTTGGTTCATTTGCAACTTCTACAGACAGATCAATGAGATTTCTCTCTTCTGAGACTAAGAATAATTTCTGCCTTCTAGACAAAAATTCTTACTCGTCATGAAAAGTGAAGTAATTTTGATAATGCTCTTTCTACATCACGATAATGATATATCATTAAATTTAAATAACTTGTAACAAAGCTACAATATCAAAACTACTGTTTTAGAAAGAGAGAATTTCAATACTATAGCTTTCTAGAATATAAGTTTTTTTTATCAAATTTAAATAGGTTCTGCTTTAATAATGATGTGTTTAGTTTTATTTAAAATCTTCTGTTCTTTATTTTCAAATTTATTCTTTGAAAAATCTGCATGTGCCTTACTTCTATCATTTTCTAGACTTTTCCTCTTTGATGAAATTCTTGGTTTACCATTATTCTTGTTCTTCGTGGAAATTTCTTTGAATATACTGTTATTCAACATAGGATTCCTATTGCTGAGAATGTTGCTCTTAAGGGGAGTGTAGACTGTTTTTATTTCAGCAACAATACTTTTTCTTTTTTCAAATTCTTTCAGCGAGCTACTTTCAGCAACATTATTATTTGCACTGCTCTAAACTAAATTTTTAAAAACATTTAGACATGAATTGATTTATTTCATAAGATATCAGCATGTTACAGACTTTATAACAATCTTGCCCATTTCAAAAGAATCTAACTTATATGAAAATTGATTTAGCTGATGAGTTGGAATGTTCCTTCTCTCATTTACACTATCAATATTAGGATGTTGGCTAATATGGATAAAAGAAGAAACAATACTTCAACTCAATGATGACAGAATTTTACTAGTGAAGAATAACACCATATTCCAAACTTTCACTAATGCATAATGTAAAACCATCATGTGATATAAGTTCATAATACCACAAGACAGCTTTACAATACACAAGAGGTAGAGTTTTACATACCTCTTCTACACAAAGTTTATATATAAAGTCATTTTAATTCTCTCGCCACATTTCGAGAAAGCAATCTTCTCACTTTTATTATGCAAAAACGGAAATTCCATCCAGATTATTCCTTGTGGCTAACAAAAAATACAGTAATTCACACAATTTTAAAATTTATCAATTGTAAAAGTGGGAACCTGCTGTAATTCTATATCTAATCATTTTAATTAGCAAAAACGGTCGCAAAATTTTTTCAAAAACTTAACGTATTTAATATTTAGATAAATCAAGGAACCGTTTTACTTTTATAAAAATCAATATTATAAAACATATGTTAAATAATTTAAAAATATACATTAAATTACATTTAAATTCTAATTTAAATCTAATTTTCTAAACAAGTTCTACCAATATTAAATACAATTTTCTTCCATAAATCTAATATATATATACATTAATCATAATGTTTTTCCTTCTTATAATATATTATGATATATAATTGAATAAAATAAAATGAAGCTATTAAAAAAATTGTAAAATTTAAACAAATTTAGAATGTCAGAAACAGATGTTTTCAAATGAACAAAAAGACTTTCAATCAATAATTTCCGACACTTTCTATATTACAACAATACACTTGACAACAGAAATCTTATCAATTATACATAATTTAAATTTATTGTTTTATTTACAAAATATTTCATTGCAATTTATTGATTTTTTAAATAAGTATTTTTAGAAATAAACAATGCTATTCGACTAATTATTTGAAAGTATATTTAGTATCTGATGATATTTTTAATCTAAAATGTAAATTTAAATAATTTAAAAAATGAATTAGAAGTAAACCTTGATTCTGAAAAGGTTATTTAAGATTGTTGGGCTGCAATTTGAAAAAAATTGTAGACCTATAAATTTCCACTGTCGTCCATCTGTCTTTTCTTAATCTCGAGAACGGAGTTAGATAGATGAACAATGAGACCAGATATGGAAACCTTAGGTGCAGGAGGCCCCAATTAACTATTTATAAACTTCCAATGCAAACAACTCAATTGCTAAAGGAAAAGTATGATGTACAGGAGCAAGACATTACTAATTTGAAGGTGGAGTGCATATATTTTAAATTAAATAAATTAAAAAATATGATTAAAAATTGCAGCCCAGTATTGTGACAATGTCACAGTGAAATAATTGCTCATAACATTTAAATTTTTTAGAATTATTTTTGACGAAATTCGCATCCAGTTAGAGAGAGAGAGAGAGACAATCTGTTTAAGTTGCTGTGTACAACTGTGCCCCAAAACTATCCTTAGAATTTATATTTAAAATATTTAAAGATACTTTCAAATATACAAACTTCTGACTTTTTTAAATTTATAAAAATCATTTATTCGCTTTTACTAATTGTTTTCTAATAAATGAATTTATGAGAAAGTTACAATCTAACAAGTAATTTATAGATCTATTTATAGTGAATTCTCTTGTTACAATGATAATTTCATTTTATATAAACGTATAATTAATTAAATGTTGACTTTGTGACGGATAATTTGACGTCAATTGCGTTAAAGTCCAAGAGATTGTTCGTAACTGTTTACATTGGTATCATCTATTATTCACTATGCATTATTTATTATGTTTGCACGTTATGCATAATTTATTCCAAATAAAAATTTTAAGAATAAGAAAAAAACTAACCCCTGTGGAATTCCGTGAAGTCTGATATTATAAATACTGTAAATTATTAATTAATAAGAAAAATATTGTTTCATAAGAAAGTGAAATACATAAAAAAAGTGTGTGTGTCGATAAAATAACGAACCAATCCGATTTTTGTAACGACTGTTTTATAAAGAAAGTATTAATATATTCTAACATAAATATTTTGTATTATTTCAACAAGTTACGAGTTTATATATATATAAATATTCTACTTGAGTGTATTGACAATCATAAAAAGTGAATGCAAATGTAGTGGGTAATGAAATATTCAACATGTAAGCCATTATACAGAATAAATGGATCTTAAAAAAAAAATACACAAACTACTTTCAAGTATTCTTTAATACAATAAGAGTTCCAAATATTTTCAGGTTATGGAATATATCATTACGAAAACAAAACTTGCAATATTATATCATTACAGAAATAAAATTTGCAATATTTATATTTGATTTAAATATTTTTATGAAAATATCTGGTAATGTTTGATTTGAATGTAAGCATTACAAATTTCTTTCTTTCTCTGTCTCTCATTTTTAACTCGGTCCATCCTACAAGCTATCTTTTTTTAAGCCAATCGTGGGTCAGTCACAGTAATGCGAGGGATGAGACCTAATGTATCCAAGTAAACCAACCATGAAAATTTCCAAAGATCCATGTTAAGGACTTAACTGGATGACACCTTTACTCCTTACCCATCCATCCATCTCATTATAAATTTTATTTCTGTAATGACATTTTCCTGAAGGCTGGTTTTGTGATGCTATTTGAAATTTATTTATTAATATATTCAAAAAATAATTTGTATACTGGGTAATTTTTTATAAACTTTTTAAGGTATTACTTTATCAGTTTAAAATCCCAATTTGTAAATAAAATTAAACTTACTCTCTCTCTCAAGAGAATTATACTGCATTAAAATTAATTTATATTCAGGATACTGTTTGTTAGCTTAAAAGGTCGCAAACATTTTTGAACCGAGACCCATGTTTGAGAGAATTTCAGCTAAAAATAAGTCTGACCGATGTCCATACCCTAATCGATCTGTGCTGCACTCTATCTGACTGATCAGATTGTGAATATCCAATTTAGCTTGTTTTACTTTTATTCTATTCCTCAAAGATGGTTATCTAGACTTAAAATGTTTGTCCAGAAAATAATTTTTATTAGCATATAGTAATAAATGAATGAAATAGTTGCTCTAGTGTACGAATCACTTAATGTTGTTACAATTAATACCAGTCGACCCCCCTATATAACACTGTTGATAATTCCGTTTTATACGAATTCCATGTTATAAGAGTCACTTAGATTTTACAAATACGTGTTCCGGGCTGTGAACGGCTCACGTATTTGTAAAATCTAAGTGACTTGTACAACATGGAATTCATATAAAATGGAATTATCAACAGTGTTATAGGGGGGTCGACTGTATATACATAATATGCAGATAATTGCATGTATCCGTATATAATTATAACTAAAATTAAATATTCAAATAATTATATTTAACCAAATCTCTTTCAGATGAAGAGCTGGAATATCTCATAGTGACTGTAATTAATGCTAATAATCGAGGTGTATCTGCAGTTAATAATGTTACAATGGAACCAAACTGGAGTTTTGGACAGTCTTTGTTTTTCTCAAGCACTGTAATCACAACTATAGGTAATTATGGATTTTATATAACATTTTTATCAATTTAAAATTAATTTTTAACCGTCATTCTTTACATAATATCCATGTAATTAATGGTATAACTACTATGCTACTTGACTGAACAATTAGAGAAAATACAAAAGACTGAATGAAACTGTAAAGTAATGCAAATTATGACAAATATAATACATAAAAAAAACAAGAAATGAGATGCTACAAAGATGTATTATGTAATTAGCTGAAAAATTGTAATTACACCATTACTTTATCTATATAATTAATGTTTTTCTTTATAATAATTGATTAATTATTACAATTATTCTGTTAATAAGCTTACCAATGTTATGTCTTCTTATCAAAAATACTTAGTATATTAATGATTTGTACAATGAAGACTTTTATAATCACAGATGAGTTTAAAACATAGGTTACTTTGAAAGATTAAGAAAAAGGAAAGTTCATTGGGAATAGCTTCCCTACAGGGAGAAAGTATTTTCTATTAACATCATGAAAGATACTAAGATGAAAAGGAAAGAGTTTGATGGAAGAATAGAAGAGGAAGGATATTTATAAGATGCTATAACTTTCAATTTTTTATTGGAAATGCTTTCTGGATTATCTTAAAAACTTTCTCTTTGCTGTGTGGACATTAAGAAAACCTGCTTAGCAAGCCCATCATGGGTTTGGCAAGACCACAATGGGACAGCTGAGTAATGAGAGATGAACCCAATATATCTGAACAGACCACTCACAAAAATCCCTGGACTATTTTATGTATCCAGACTTGATCCTGGATTGTCAGAACAGTAGACTGCACCTTAACTGCCTGGCCATTCAGCTGTCTGCTTCCTTAATTTTTGAATTCCAAATACAATATTGCATACTGAATATTATCTACTTTATGTATGGCTTTTTATTTATTTATTTATAGGAACCAACTCATTTTGATTTGAGCTAGAACTTCTAAAATTTCATAATTTAAAACTGAATTTCCTTTTTTATCTTATTGAATTACAAGAACATACAGTTTGCTGTAGAATCCTACATTATGATTAGTTAAATAAAAGTTGTTGAGGAGTGATTCTTCTGGATTCTTAACACAACAATAAAATAATTTTAAAGACTAAATCCAAACATTTAATGAAACATGATTCATAATTCATTCATAAATGTTTTAGGATATGGTCATGTCACACCTCTATCAGAAGGAGGACGGGTCTTCTGCATTGTCTATGCTCTCATCGGCATACCAATTACGCTAATATTACTGACAGCATACGTAGAAAGGCTAATGATCCCAACCACTCTCTGCCTTCAATTTTTGAATTCTCGACTCGGTCATCTTTATCAAGCATTTCATATCAGAATTCTTCATTTATCTGTTGTAGGAGTAAGTCTAATTTTGTTTAAATTAATTATTGATAATAAAGATAATTTATTTTTATATTAATGATGACTTTATGGTTTTTTTTGTCTTTTTTTTTTTTTCAGGTATTAGTTTTAGTATTATTTTTCTTCATACCTGCTGGTATCTTTGCATATTTGGAACCAGACTGGGATTATCTGGATTCACTTTATTATTGTTTTATATCTCTAACTACTATTGGATTGGGTGACTTAATACCAGGCGATAGTTCGCATCAAGATTATAGACCATTGTACAAAGTTTGTACAACAGGTAGGTTGTGTCTAGTTACGAATAAAGGATGAAAAAATATGAATTTATAAATCAATTCAGACGAAGACTTTTATCTGCCTGACTTGCAAGAATTGCAGGTTCAAATCGCACTCCAGGTTGCTCTTTTCTTCTAGTTAGTTAAAACTAATTAATTTAATTAAATTTAATTATATTCATTAAATTTTACTATAAAATGGCAAATTTGTCTATCGTTAGTGTAAAATAATTCAATATTTACTTAAAATTATACACTTACATATAATCTAATATCTGATTGGGTTCATTAATAAATCCATTTTTAGAATATAAATTAATGTTTGTAGTATTTTAATTTAGGAACGTGTGTCAACAATGATAACCTCCAAAAAACAATTCCTAATTATATATAAAAGGCACAAAAGCTCATACCATTGGCATATCCACGATTTTGAGAATATGGGTGCTGCTCAAAGTAGATTCAGGAGTACCAAGGCATGTGCTCCATTGTTTTTTGAAGAATATTACTCAATTAAGTTAGAATTACCTTAGTTAACTAACTTTTTACAACATTCTTTCTTCATTAACTTTTCAAAACTGTTAATTGGAAGATGTAAAATGGATAATTGATCATTTTGAATTGATAGGTTGATTATGAATTATATAAATTACAGTATGATTTATACTTGGCATGATTCCAAAAGAATAACTCACACAATAACTTTCTTGTAAAACAGTACACTAAATTACTTTAATTAATTTACACCAAACAACAGTTTTCAAATTAATTAGTTCTATTTGTAACAGCCTTTTAAAAGAGCCAAAAACATTTGTTTTAGTGTAAATTAAAGTGTTTTAGTCTGCTGGTTTAAAAGAAGGTTATTGTGTGAATTTCAATTAGTATTTAATCAGTTTTGTTAGTGATTCCAAAAGAAGAAATTAAAAAAAGTATAAAATCGTTACATTTTTTTATTTTCACTAGAAATGAATGACTGAAATTACGTATGTGTTCCAGACTATTCAACACATGTTTCCAAAAAATATCACTTTAAATTTTTCTTCTTTTTTTTCTATTTATATACAATTAGTTACAACTATTGAAGTCATGCATTATATATATTTTTACTTTAAAGTAACAAAATTGACTGCTTTGGTATCAAGGGATGCTGCAGCACGATAAATATTCCCTATGGATATACTCCTGGCTTATGCCCAAAATTGAAGTCAAACCGATGATCTAATTGGTATATATTTTGTTAATCAATGATAATATTATAACTTGTATCCTATTCACATCTGCCTGCTGTATATATATATATAAATACTATAACATCCTTACATATTTCATATTTCTCACTATAACTGATTGCTGTTTAACATGCCATCTATACAACATGTTATATAGTATCATTAGGATTTAAACTAGAACTCAATTCAATTTCACATTCACAAATTCAATTTCAAATGCAAAAACACATTAATCTAAGATGTCAAAGATTTTTTTAATGAGATTCATCTTTAGAAATGATTTTATGTCCAAATATGAACATCCAAACCCTATAGTTGTATATTAAAGCCAAATGATTGCCAAATTATATCAGACTCATTTTGTGTTGTATTGTAATAATTGAGCAATTAATCTGTTAATAAACAACATCCAACATTAATAACATATCTATTCAGTTGAACAACGAACTGAATGGATATACAATCAGTCAGATCACTTGGGTTGGATTGTCCAAATGACCTAAGGGACGTGAATTCAAATCAATACCCTGATAATTTAACATGAATTGCTTGGTTTAAACGATAATTCCCTCACCACTTACAATGGGAAAAATCTAGATCTTTTCCATAGCCATGTATGTTAATGCCATGTGTTAAAATTCAATTCAATCATATATAGTATATCTGAATTAAAATTCAAAAATTGTTAACAAGATTACAGATAAACATAAATACATAAATTAAATTTAATTTAAATCTTCTTATCCTCCCATAAAATTTAAATCAACTCTAGATTTTAATATCTAATACAATGTAAATAGTATTTAGGGAATAATGACAAGAGAAAATTTGTACACGTTCAGTGTAGATGCAACCATTGTAAGCATAACTAGTATATATAAGCAATAACAATATTTTTTCTTGTTTTTCAACACTTACAGATTGCTTTTGATTAATTATATGAGGAGGGATATGCAGAATATTTGAAATACAAGCAAACTAAAGTTGAACTTTCTGGAATTTGTTTTTGAATATTTTTGATCCACAATTGATTGAATCCATGGTGTAGAATCAGCAGACATAAAGGGTTGACTGTAATTTATGTTTAGTTACATACAGTACTGTATAATAACTTGCAGAAACCTTCTGTACTTAATACAGCAGGTATGTTTATTGGAACAACGAACATCTTCAATCACTTTCAGAGACCTTCATGTTGTTATCGTGTGTTTCCATAAAGTGAATGTGATTAATCAAAAAAATTCTAAACAGAACATCCTGTACAAAACATGACAATATTCAAATTAAAAATTCAATTCTGTAACCAGACAATTACCAGATTTAAATCAGATTACTTTACTGCTACTATTAATAATCAAATACTGAGTAAAGTTATTCGTATTTAATTACTAGTAGTAGTGATAAAGTAGCCTGATTTAAATCTGGCAATCATTTGGTTACATTATAAAATATTAAACTTTGAGATGTTTATATATCAATACCGTATTTAAAAATAATTGTTTAAAATTAATATAGAACTTATGAATAAATTTATCAGTGGNTAGTGAGAAGTCATAAAATTTATGTAAATAAATTAAACTTTGTTAACTGTTCCAATGTTTGAAACTTTTTTAATGTTCTCTCTTCAAAATAACTCTCTTTGTTTGGAATTTAATTGTAAGTGATATATTCTGAAAATATTTAATAAACATTAAAGATATTTTTGATGACTTCTCATTCAGGCTGATGGTTTTTTGATTTAATGTATTTAGTTAACTTTTGGTTCAATGTGGAAAAATAAGCTGTTATAGTTTACATAATTGTTCTCTGTAACTTATAATACAATGTAGTAAAGATAATTATATTTTTATGTCAATAAAGGTTTTGTAAAAAAAAAATTTATAATTAAAAACTTGTGCATGAATGGAATAAAACTTAATTTGCAAGAAACGTAACCTATAATATAATAATAGAGTTCATTTTAAGGAAAAGAACAATGCATGAAGCAAAATATCTACAAAAATTCTAACCTCAAGGGATTGAGCAAAACCAAAAACAATATAATCTACACAGAAGTATAGAATAAATGGCATGAAGATAATGATAGTTAATTTCCAAAACATGAAAAAAGAAACCATGTATGGTGATAATTATAAATGGTTTTAAACCAGATGTTTAATATAAAAAGTACATACAGTCGACCCCCGTATAAGATCATTGATTATTCCGTTTTATATGAATTCCATGTTGTACGAGTCACTTAGATTTTACAAATACGTGTACCGGGCTGTGAACGGCTCACGTATTTGTAAAATTTAAGTGACTTGTACAACATGGAATTCATATAAAACGGAATAATCANTTTTTATAGTTGATGTTACATTATATTCTTCTGTAGTATAATTAAAATAAATTGTATCTTAACATAGTTAAAACTAATAGATTATACATTTTTATGTTATTATACTCTTAAATTAATAGTTAAAAAATAAATACAATATTTTTATTTACTTACAGGATTTTTACTTATTGGTCTAACATTTATGATGCTCTTCTTGGCAACTCTATATGATATTCCACAACTCAATTTCAGCCTTTTCTTCTTATTAAAAAGTGATGCATCTACAGATCCCGAAAAAATGCGTCTTCATCCTTCGACGGGAATGTTTGGCCCAAAATACACTCAGCAGATTGACGAGCCGACCATTCGTCACGTGAAGGCCGTACCTCATCCGGCATCTTCCTCTCCAGAAGAAAATCCATGATGACTTAATTAGTATTTTCATGAATTCCCTCCATCGCTTTCGAGAGACATCAATAACTTTTGAGATGCAATGTAAATATATAATTACGTTGTTATCCTGAATTATTTTTCAGAAGATGAAAAAAAAAAAAAAAAGAAAAATATCTTAATAATTTATAGATATATTTTTAATTTTAAATTAATGTTCCTTTTTTGAAATTTTGATGTTTGGAACATTTTATAACTTTGCCTCCCGACACTGATATATTATACAAAAACTTTTGTATCAAGGTGCTTGACAGCAAACAACGAGTTATATCTTTAGGGATTTCCAAAACTGTGATCTTGGAGAATTCCGAAACTTCGGAATACATTTGGATAGATTAACAAAAAAACAAGTTACTTTGCGCATAGCATTATTTTACGTTCTGAAAATGTGTTCAACCATTCGGTTAAGTCTTGATTATCGAACAAAATCATCCAAAATTGCTTCTTTTATAAAATTTGGGCTTCTATTTTGATGCGTTCAAGAGCACAGAGCAGTCGGTTGTTTCTATTTTTCTTTTGTAAAGCTAGATTTTTGCATTATCTATTGTCACAAAAAAAAAATAATAATAATCAGGGTCTTCTATACATTTTTTTCCCCTTGAATCGACTAGAATATCAAATTTTATATTGTCAATATTGTATAAATGATTATGTATATGCAAATAATGTTGTTTCATGCTTCACAAATTTAAATTGTTTTTTGGTTCAGAAAAATTAAGACAGTTTACATTTATGAGATATTGTATTGTTATCATGCATGTTGTTATTGTAATATATATAATGTTAAATTTAAAATTTTAAAAGAGAAAAAAAATTATATATACACATTATATAGTATATATGTAGATGTTTATAACAATCAGCGTATTCCGCAGCTATTGATATTCAAATTTTAATGATGTTGAAGTGAATTTTTAATGCTATATTCGCACGATGTTAGGGCAGCTATCAGAATCTGCAAATACCGAAAATGTGAGTGTTTCTCATCTAAAGTTTCAATAATACAATAGAGTCTCAACTATCGATCTACTAGAGTTATCCAGCTATAAGTATTTTTCTGTATTTTATATGCAAAATTTTGAAAAATGCCTTTAATTGAAAACCCATTAAGTTAACTAACCTCAAGCAGCAACATTCATACCATTCTAAATCTCTTACTGCGCATAGGACTTGTTTCTGTGATATCAAACGTTTGCCACATTTGCCACGCGCAGATGTGAAAATGAAATAGTATTTATCTCGTTACTGAGCCTAATTAATAAGTTGTTTCCAATTAGAGCTTATACTATCAGAATTTTTAGTTATGCAGCCCATTATTGTTACCTGTTACACTAGATAATTGAGACTCTACAGCATATCATAAATATTATTGAAACTACAGTATTAGGTGCAACAAAAGTGAAGTTGTAAAGATTTCATCTGTTTGTATGGAATATGAAAAAGATCTAGGCATAAATAATGTAGAGGATGAGAAAGTCGGTTCCAGAGAAACAGTTCTTCCATTCTACTAAACTCTAATCCTATAACAATGTTCCTTTTTATCTTTATGTTTGTCAATATAAATACTTCCTTAATTTTCTAAAAATCTGCAATTATTTATACGTTTCAGCATTCTGTTATAATGATTGTTTTTAAAATAAAACATTCGAAATGATTTTATATAAAAAACATACACAAAATGAAATGCAGTACAATGACATAAATGAGACCAGAACAGTGTTGAATAAAGATTACCACCAGATTATTGGAAGTAAGGTGAATTCAACAGTTTAATTATTTAGAAAAATATCTATTTATTTGCACATATAGAGTAGCAAGAAAATATGAAAGGAGATCAATTAATATGAGTGATAATCAATCTTTAATATCATGCCATGTTTAGTGGTAAAGGTTTTCAAATTTAGTGGAAACTGGAGTTTGAACTAGTGAAGCTTGTCCAACAATGCCTGAGTCGAGTAGTGTCGGATTACAAGACGTGTCAAACTAGTGAAAGGCCGGATTACTAAGATTGTACTGTAACGTTTTTTTAAATCTATAAAGTTATCCTTAACTGAATTTAAATTTATTAATTGTACATAAGGTTAAATCATCTCTCTATCACAATATAGTTAGATAGAACACTTCTTCATCTGTCTGGGTTTTGTGGAACCAGTCTTTATTTTGGTTTCGGTGATCAACGTGAATTGTACAGTTAGTCTGATTTATAACAAAGGAATCTCCCTATAATCTAAATTAACATGATCTAGTCCTTTGTAGATCATAGACTAATGTATGTACATCTTCATAAAAACTGACCAATCATCCATTTTTCGGATCAGTTTTGTAAGATACAGTACATCAGTTTATGTAAACAAATTGATTTATACGTTTGTAAACTGTTGAAGTGTTATTTGTATATAAAATAAATCAATTTGAAACTAGCATAAAAACTAATTTTCAAAATAAATTTACTGAAAATCAAATGAACAGGTGTAAAGTACTATATTATTTTTCCGACTTTCCAACGATTATCGACACTACTGTGTGCCGGAAATAGCCGTTCCCTAACGGGTACTTTACGCGGATTCGCGTTAGTGTGCCAGGCCTGGACTTTAAGCGTGCACCGAATTAAATAATGACNAATCTATTTAAATTAAATTTTTTAATCACATTTTTAATCGTGTTTTCACTAATTCTGTAAGAAACACTACTTTGTTCTAAGCTCAGTTTACGATTCTTATTTACAAGTGTACTGTGTTTGAAACATCACGAGCGTGTTCCACGTATACTCGTGAAAACGATTATACTTGGTAACTTTTGATCCACCCCATAAAATTTTGGTATGAAACCATTGCGATAATATCAATATGTCACAGTAAAACTGATGTTTTTATTCATTTGTGTTCCATCAAGAATTAATGAATACACTGAGCTCACCTCTCACTATTCTTCAATGGGATTCTCCCTTCATTTATGCACAGATATATTTTCAGTTTATTTCTTCATATTCATGAATATACAAATTGTGTCATAAGTCTGGAATTATAGGTATTATTTCAATCTTTGTTTATTCTTTTATAGATAAAGCATGACATTGAGTAACTTGAAATAAATTTGTTATTTTGGCAGGGACCCACAATCAGCAAGAAGTTGCTGAAGAGTTTAACAGGCTGCATGTAGCCTGTCCAGAATGGGTGGGAAATCCAAATGCTGCCTGTTAAACTCGTCAATGACTTCACACTGACTACAGATCCCAGATTTATGAGACACCCTGCAAACATTGAATTATCCTTCATTGGAAATGTCAAGAGCTTGTATGGGGGTCCAAGGTAGAGCTGATCCCTTAAGGGACCCCTTTATCTATTTTTTTTTTGAACAAGTGAAATACATAGTGTTTCGTTATTAATAAAAAAGCAATCTTAAAGATTTTATCTTCTGTTAGTAAAAATAACATTAACTTTATAGGCAAAGAAAGCACTATGGGAGCAAGTTTTCTTTGGTCCAGAGAAAAATCTCCAGCTTTATACTCTCTTGATGGCTCTATCCCTCACCACTTGCTAAACTAACAGGACAAATCAGTAAATTATGGCTTCATATTACATTTTCAATGCTTGATAGCTAATGTGAAGAATTGCTATCCAATATAGTTTTAAGACCACAGACAGGAAGCTTAGACAAACGATTCACTTTTCAGATTCAGTAAAGATTTCATGTCACATATAAAACAATGCATATATTACAAGTAATATAAATAACAAAATTGAAGAAATATATTAAAATTCTATCAAAACTTGTTAAAAATTCAATGAAATAAGCTAAAATTGTTAAATCTTTTCTTAAAAATTTTAACTCTTAACTTTAACGTCAATGTAAGAAATTTCCAATATTATGTATCATAATACACAAGAGAAGTAAAGTATTCCTTCCTTATACATTTCTTAAGAATAATTGCATTATATGAATAAAAAAATAAGAGCTTAAATTAAATTAGCTTTAATATAACCTGAAAAAATCCACAGATTATACATAAGGCAGTTAATACAGGCTTTGATTGTATCATATGCAGGATTGGCCTTAAGTCAATTGAACTAATTATGCCCAAACAGAACCATTACTCCAGATAAGAATGGCTCTAGAGTTATATCCTTTTAGTTAGAAATATTGTATACCTTTTAATTTAATTTACCTAAACACTCTCAAATTTTATTCAATGTAAAAAATGGCTTTCTTGCCTGATGAAAGTCCCTTAAAAGTGGCTGAAAATGCTTTTGCTTCCGTTAAATTTTTTATTTAATTTGTTTTTAGTCTTTCTATCCTGTGGTCACTAAGAGGGCCTTTTCTTCCAACCTATCATGGGTTCAGCCAGGCCCACAATGAAGATAAAGGATGGTTCATATCTGGGACAGATCACTCCTGAAAAATTGCCCAAATTTGATCCCAGGTCCCGCAAAACAGTAAGCCGATGCCTTAACTACCTTGGCCATTCGGCCATCCTAGTTTTTATTTTTTAATAATACCAATTAGGGCCTACGCTCTCTACACTAGGTCTGATTGTATGTATAAACGTATAATGATATTATATACAGGCCTACAAACATGGAGATTTTACAAAATAAAAATTTGTGATTTTAGTTTTCATATTTCAACTTTTCTAAATTTTTCAAGTTTACATAATGCAATTATCCTTAAGAATTAATTATAAAGAACAGTATGTTACTCTAACTTTAAAAAACATTTATAATTAAATGAAAACATAAAACACAATTATTTCTAATTAGTGTATAAAATATTTATTCATAATTATTACTTTAAAATTTATAATTACAATAAGTTTAGTCATTTAGTTATTTTTCAATACATTTGTAAGTACATTAATACATCTCAATTACCATAAATATATTTAAATACAGTCAAACCTCTGAACAACGGCTAACAATGGGCATCATTGGGATGTGGCCCTTATCAGAGGTTCAACTATATATTTTACTTAGTTGTTAAATTTAACTGTTAAAGTATATAATCGTCATTTATTTAACTGAATAATATATTTGTAATAATAATAATAATTACCAAAATTAACATAATTTGTTAACAATGCAAAAGTTTAATTAAGATCAAATCGTTCTCAT